ATAGGTCCTAATTTTCCACCAAGTCATCGGTTCAGTAAACTGTGGTGTGGTACCATCTGTACTGCACATCCTGTAAAAACTTCATTTATTTGACTTCAGACAGCATGAAGTCTGTGACAGTTTTTAAAGCCATGCTTTACAGTGGCCTTGATGCCTGTAGTGTTTCATGTCCACGTTAACAAAAGGTCATCAAAGAGGATGTGAACATGCTTTTTAAATGCTACTTTGGACCTTTTTAACATGTGAGTCTGTAGAAACTGACTGTTTTTTGGAGCCAGCCTCACTTTTACTTTGATGTTATCTGTTGTTTAATATTACATAAAAGTTTACTGTATGTTGGTGTCACGTAGCTTCCTGGTGGAGCAGGTGACTGTCACAAGGTCTCAATGCTGTGGCCTGGGTTCAGTTTGACACAGAGACCTTTGCTGTCTTCCCCCACTGTCTCACCGTCCCACCGTCCCACTGTCCCACCGTCTCACCGTCCCACCGTCCCACCACACTTTCCTGTTTTAAAATAAATAAAAAATGGTGTTAAAAATGCTCCGAAAGTGTTGACGTAGTGTTTTTAGTATTCAAATGGATATTTTATTGATCGTGTTGGACAACAGACCGCAGGGAGCTGAGTCGTGTGATTGGTCCGTTCTTCAGCAGCACTGTAAACTGGTAACTGGTTAGACTGTGTTACTTTGTAACCTCAGATGGTGTTTCTTTGGACTGTAAGCCACAGTGTTGGTGGGTCAGCAGAGCTGCCCCTCACTGAGCAGCTGTTTGGTCTTCCAGTTGTTCTTCCTCTTTGGTCTTTCGTTCGTATTCCTTCATTTTCGTCACAAACTCCACTGAATTCAACGGTTTGCAGCTGATGCAGGTGGTGCCTGTGGCTTTGGTGGAGGAATCTGTGGCATCCATGGACACAGACACTGATTCAAATTACCCAAATTGATGAGACAGACTTACGACGGCTGCTGGCCACACCAAATTAGGCCGACAGAGATGTATGTGTGGGTCAAGTGTCCACTAAGAGACCACACACACACCCCTGTTGTAGCCATGCATTGTTTGACAGGCCTCTCAGGCGAAACCACACACACACACACACACACACACACACACACACACACAGTTTGTGATCATTTTGTTCTTATTCCCATCGTGTCCCCCTCCCCAGACTCATCCCACTGCCAGCAAGCTGCCCCTGAAGGACGGCTTCACGTTTGATGACTACAGGTCAGTGCGTAGCAGTCGTGACATGTTTGTTTACCTTCTCCAGCCTGTGAATAACAAGCTTTATTACAGCTCTGTTGTGACTTTTACATACTTACCTTCATTTTGGTGGTAGAGAATCACTCTGCAGTGAGATCCACAGGCAGGTCTGTAACATAACTACACTCACAGTCAAGGTGGACATGTTTATAGTAATGTGCTGTATGTAGTTATAATCTTACTGACCATTTGAATTGCTTGACCTAGCTCACATTAAATTTCGAATTACAATCATTAACCTCATCTGCATTTCTTTGGGCAATGGGAGGGAGGTCGAGTACCCAGAGAGCACCTGTGTATGCAAAGGATCTCCTTGCTGTGAAGCCACAGTCCTAACCACGTGTAACCCTAAACACTACTTCTGGACAATTGTAATGAATTATTATGAGGTTGATTCAAAATGCTGCAGTGAGAGTCCTGACAGGGACTAGAAAGAGAGCTTGTTTGTCTTATGCTGGCTTCTGTGTTCATTGGCTCCCTGTTAATCCAAATTTAAAGTCCTGCTCCTCACATACAGGT